CCAATTTTTCACAAAATAAAATTACTATTCATGAAAATTAGTGATTTATCCGAGGATTTATCTTTATTCTTATCAGATTTATAGAAATCGGAACATTCTCGGAACGAATATTTTAATCGGAACATTTATTGGACGAAATTTGAAATCGGAATTATTAGAGTATTGAAATCGGTACAGTTCCGATCAAATCGGAACGTCTGGTCACCTTAAACATCTGGGGTAATATAGAGAAGACCCAACGACACAAACAAAGCCATAAAAATTCTTTGCCCATTGTCCCTGAAACGGGACAAGGTTTTGAAGAGTTCATTCGTCGAATTTTGATTTTATAAAGACGTTTATAAAGCGATGATGGGTAGCAAAAAAACTAGAGAGTGGTTAATTTTGATTTTATTAAATTTATTTTATCTAATGAAAAAATAACGCTCAACTTCTGCATTTACTATCCACCAGATGTTTGGGGGGTGCAGTCGGACCTTTGTTAGTTTGGTTTGTCTATGAGTCGGCCGATCCCTTTTTTCCGTATTTATGGTTATTGCACTTCACACTCACAGTGAAGCTGTCGAATTCCATTTGGCCATTTGGTTCACAACCACCGAACCTTTCTCGTGAATCCGTAACTCACTTCATTTTTAATGCAGTTTTGTGAAAATTGTGTGGGTTGAATTTACACTAGGTAAGTTAATATAATTCTAATGAAGTAATCATTTTAATTTTTACATGCTTCTGTTGTTTTTGATAACTGTACGTAAATAACAACAACAGTTTTTTCAGACAAGCTGGAAATACCACCATTAATCACTGAAGATACTCCCGCTGATTTTGAAGAACTTACGGTGATTGTTTTTGAAAGTGAGGCGCTTTGCCGTAACATGTTGCAAAGGTATGTTACTGCAATTTTTTATGAACTAGGTGCTAATGAACATAATTTTACTCTAGACTTGAAACAAATACAAAAAATATGTGCGAAACAAAAGAAATTTTAAAGGAAACGAGTGAACAAATCTCCAATCGTCATCAAATGTGACAAATCAAAAAGAAAACAGTAATAGAAGATATGCCGCCAAGAACACAGATAAACAAATTTTGAGGAATTAGAAGATTATCTCTGCCTACTACAACAACCAGGTTTCTTTGTAAGTTAAAAAAATACAATTAGTCCAGTCAAATTAGCGATCAACCTCGCAATGAGAGATAATAAGCTGAATTTTCGTATATACCTTCATTTTAGCGTTCTAAAAGTTGTCTCAAAAGTCTCATAAAATCTCGTGTCTGCGTCGTAAGTTATTCAAGGTCAAAGGTCAAGAAAAACATTATTTTGCGATTATCTCGGTTTCTATTGCTCTAATGATGTTAACACCTATTACCATAATTGTAGAGCACAAAATTTGGGACAAATTTTATTTGAAACATTTTTTGATACACTTAATCGTTTTTGAGATAGAGGGCAGTGGGCTCGCAGCGTTCATCCATACATACTGTAATGCAATCAACCGTGAATATCTGTGAATACTACCTTGAATTTTGAAAAATTTGTATTATTTATCAGTTAATACATTGCATTTAATAACATTTTGCATATTTTCAATACATTTATTTAATGATACTTACCTACTTTGTGTAATTAAAAACTCTTTAAATGACATATTTATTGTAGGTATATCTTAGGTTAGATTATTATATATCTTAAAGTTATATTAATTTTTTCAAAGTAAATTTTAAGGAAGTAAAACGGGTTAATATATTTTAATTTTATCTTTATTCAGCAGCTGTACATTTCTTACGATTGAAATTGAATTGCAGTGAAAATCTATAAATTTTTAATAATTTAAAGAACAAAAGTATCAATTTTCTTCTTCTTCACCGTCATCTTCTGGACGTTAGGGAATTTCTGTTTCATCGTCGTCATCTTCGGTGCCCTGAATTGTTGTTTCCAGACCTTCCAGTTATAATCATGATAGAAAAATAAGTATTTAAAAACTTACACATTTTAAAGATATAAATAAATTGAGATATACAATAAATATTTCATTAAATGAGTTTTTAATTACACAAAGTAGGTAAGTATTATTCTATGAATATATTGAAAATATGTAAAATGTTATTAAATACAATGTATTAATTGATTAATAATACAAATTATTCAAAATTCAAGGTATATTCACAGATATTCAGTTGATTGCATTACAGTACGTATGGACGAGCGCTACGCGCCCACTGTCCTCTATCTCAAAAACGATTGAGCGCATGAAAAAATATTTCAAATAAAATTTGTCCCAAATTTTGTGCTCTACAATTATGATAATAATTGTTAACATCATTGGAGCAATAGAAACTGAGATAATTGCAAAAAAACTGTTTTTCTTGACCTTTGACCTTGAATAACTTACGACGCAGACACGAGATTTTATGAGACTTGGGACAACTTTTATAACGCCAAAATTAAGGCGTATACAAAAATTCAGCTTATTGTCTCACATTCCGAGGTTGATCCCTTTTTTATGCTAAAATGACTGGACTAAATATATTTATATGTACTTACATATAACATAATTTTGGATATTATATACAGGTATATGCCTGTAATACTATAACACTTTTTAGGAACCTACTAAACATGACACATTTCGCTTAACACGTTACATACATAGTGGGTTGCAGAAAAGTCTTATAGTGAAGCACCCTGTATGTTATACATACGCGGTGACTTCCAAATAGATTCGGAAAAAAAATCCTTTAATTGTCACACGGATTCAAAGTAATTAAATTGCTGCTCCAGTTTCAAGAAACAAATACGGAACATCTTGTTAAATGTAAATGATGCGGCAATGATTTATTCAGTTTCCATTGTGACTAAATTTTTTCTTTATTTTTGCTGTGTGTTGCTTAGATGAAAACAAATGGCACTGAATGAGGTGTAGATCTTAATATTTTTTCCCCTGAATTAGGACTAGATAAAAGAAATTACTTAAAATTTTCTCTACTTCGTGATGTTTTATTTTCCGAATTTATTTCAGAGTCACTCGATATATACACATAAAAATATTTTCTTCTTTTCTTATTTCAGGAACTGCTATTGTCCCAGATTGTTTGTTCGGTAGGAAAATTCCAAAATGGCTGGGACAAAAACAATGAATATTATGAAAGGTATTTTTTTTTTTGCAATAAATATATTTATTACAATTTTTATTTTTGAAGAAATTACAATGAAGACCCATTCCGCAATAGAAAAAGATGTAGAACAACGCTGCTCAGAGTGGCTACGGCATTATAGTCAACGCCTGAAGAAAGGAAAAACAACGACAGTTTATAGTTTCTGTGTCTTTTTTTAAGTGTAAATTATATTGTATTATTTTCGAATTAGGAAATCATATATATATTTATTTATATTATGAATTTATATTAATTTTTGTATTTTATTACTTATTACATATTATATTTTTTCAAACATTGAATAAAAAAATAATTTACTGTAAGCTCTAAATTTTACTCTCCATATCCATATCCCTAAATGGTAACTAGACTTTTTGAAATGCCTATTCATATCGCATAGATCATGTTAATAAAATATACTGAGAGTTATATGTTTACGATGTAGCGATATATACGTAACGTCTATGTCCATTTAATACGTTATATTGGCGTTTAAAATAAAACGTAACAGATACATCAAAATATAGAGAATCTAGCGACATACTAACACAACGTTATGATGATGTACCAGCGAGCACGTCTCTAGTCTGAAACAATGTGGATGTCACCAGTATGTTACAAGCATGGGTCACTGTTGATTACATTACATAGCACAGGGAAAGCAAATGTACGCAGTTTGGGATGTAACAGCTAACAAGATCGTAGACAGAGTTAAGTGGCATTAACATCGCTACGAAGTAACTGTGTTTACTGGGTACAACTATCTACGGTTTCGAAAGGTGTCGTAGTTGACCTTAAATCTAGGAACGGAAGCACTTTCAACAACTTCAGGGGGTAATGCATTCCATTCGGTGAATACCCTGTTAGTGACGAACGTCTGACGAATGGAAGTCCGAAAATTGTCCTTCTCCAATTTGAACCGGTGACCTCTGGTTCGTCCATCAATGTTGACAGGAAAAAGATGTCTGATAGGTGAACTAATATTTGTAAAAGCCTGAAATGTTGTCAACATGTCACCTCTTACACGCCTGTCGGCTAACGATGGCAATTTCATAAGATTAAGTCTGTCAGGGTAAGAGGGGCGCACTTGTCCGTACGGTATTCTTGTGGCACGACGCTGTACAGATTCTAGTAAATTGATATCACGTTGTAATGTTGGAACCCAAACGCAGTTGGCATATTCTAATATCGGTCTAACATAAGTTTTATACAGTTTAGTTACAGTATTTACATCAGCTTTAGCAAATGTCTTTCCGAGAAGATATAGTATCTTGTTGGCTTTTTTCACGACTTTTGTGATATGTTCAGACCATGTCAAAGTAGACGTTACGATAACACCCATATCCGACAAAGAAACACACTTGGTAAGCTCGGTGCCGTTGATATAATAAGTTTGCTTTGGATTGTCGCTGCCTAAATAAAGGATATTACATTTGTCCGCATTAATTGGAAGTAACCATTTTAGTGACCAGTTATAAATAGTTGCTATATCCTTCGTTAAGACTTCATAATTGGAACAAATATTGTAGATTTTCAAATCGTCAGCATACATTGCCCAAGGAGAAATTAAGCAGTCTTTTATGTCGGATACATACGCTAAAAACAACAAGGGTCCTAATACAGAGCCCTGTGGTACACCGCTCAGAACTGGAAAAGGAGAACTAAACATATCACCAACCTTAACCTTAAATATTCGGCCAGAAAGAAAAGATTCAATCCACCTGAGAAGACTATGTTGGATTCCATAATGTCGTAATTTCAAAAGGAGTCGGCGTTTCGGCACACGATCGAAAGCCTTCGAAAAATCAAAATACGCGATATCTACTGAGCCACCAGAATCGAGTTCTCTAGTCCAGTTGTCTAAACAACAGAGCAAATTGGTCGCTATGGACTTTCCAGGTGTGAAACCATGTTGCTCACGAGGTATAACCTGGTGTGCTGTTAAAAACGCCACCAACTGATCGTAGATGATACATTCCATTAGTTTCACTACTACTGAAGTTAAACTTATAGGCCTATAGTTCGCCGCATTAAACTTGTCCCCTTTTTTGAACACAGGTGTGATGGTGGCAGTTTTCCAATCGTTTGGCAATCGTCCTGACCGAAATAATTGCTTCATCAACATGCAAAGCGGGCGAGCAAGGGAACTGCCACACTCTTTTAAAATTTTTGCACTAATACCATCAGGACCAGGAGATTTGGTAGTATCTAATTTGTGCAATTTATCTTTTATTAAATCGTAGGAAAAGCATATACCACTAAGACAATCGAAGTTATGAGTAGTCAACAAATTCGGTATATCCGCGTCTGGTTCAATTGTGAACGACTGAGCAAAAGTTTCAGCAAAAATGTTGGCTGTAACGCAATCGTCCTCTATAATGTGCCCGGTTGCATCTTTCACCTGCGGCTTTCTGACAGGCCCTGATAATTTATTGCGAATGTAGCTGTAGAACTTTTTGGGATTTTTCTGATCGGCAATACTTTTTTCATATTTATGTTTTACATCTTTGATGATTGACGAAACGCGGTTAGAAAACGCACGATGAACCTTATAATCATCTTCCTTGCCTGTTCGTTTAAAGGTTCGCCAAAGTGAACGTTTCTTTTTTTAATTTTAATATTTTGTTGTCAATCCATGGTTTAGAAGAAGATGCTTTGTAAGTGATGGTGTAAGAATACTTATCAGTTGCTAGTTTTAAATGATTTTTAAAACTTTCCCAATTTGTATCAACCGATGGATGGTTTAAAAGGGTTGCCCAGTCTACAGTAGACAAATATTCATCAGCTTTTTTAAAGTCAACAATCCGCTTTTGTAAGGTAACAGTTTTAGATCTCGCTACAAAACAAAGTTGGAGATCTAGCTTTAAAGTTACATGATCAGATTTGCCGAATGGGTTTAAATAATTCAAATTTGCTAGTGAAGTATCATCAGACGTTAAAATCAGATCTAATGTAGACGGTCTTTGGTTCAGCCTATAACGGGTGGGTTCATTAACAAGTTGGTTCAAGTTGCTATTAACTAGCAGATCTATTAATAGCTGCGAAGATGGACTGAAATGTTGACTCATATTTAAAGGCCAAGCTATGTCTGGCATATTAAAGTCTCCGAATACAAAAAATTTATTGTGAGTAAAGGCAAGTTGCGACAGAGAACTGAATAAGTTATTATCATCAGCAAGCAGCACTGGTCTCGGAGGGCGATAAACACATCCCAGGACAAAAGTAACATTTTTATTAGATACTTTCAAAAAAAGTGAATCAATGCCGAAAGTATTAACATTTATAGGAGTTACCGAAAATTCTGATAAAATCTGGTCAGAAACATATATACATACACCCCCTCCTAATCTATTAATTCGATCACTTCTGAAAAGAGTGAAATTCGGCACAGAGACGAAGCTGTCAGGTATACTAGGAGATAACCACGTTTCTGCCAACAAAACAAATGAAGGATTGTTGCAAGAGATAAACGCAATTAATTCGTCATATTTGGCGAGAAGAGAAGCAATATTCGAGTACACAAGAGAACTAACAAAGTAATTACAGTTATTTTTATTATTGAATTGAAGCATTTTGTTGCGAAAGATCAATATCTCTCAAGGGAACGTCAGAAATGTCAATATTTCGTAGTTTACCGCAAATTTTCTTTAACCTTTTCTGAATTTTCTTACAACGATTCTTTATGCTTTTGTGCTGAACAATAGGAAATATATCAAACAGCATATCTATTATACCTTGCACGTCAGTTGTGTATTTATGAGCCAGTTTCAACAGATCAACTTCTCCAGTTGCTTTTTCTAGAAACTCAACCGTCTGCTCAAAATTGAGTGGGTACTGGGCATTCTCAAGCAGCTGTTTCGCTGGATGCAGTAAGTCAGAAACAGGGGTTAAACTTTCGGTGGAATCTGAAGGCTTAATCCTTTTCGTTGGTTGCTCTTGCTGAGTATTTTCCGCATGTGATCCAAGTGATAAGTCCAAGGGATTTTGTTCAGTTAAACTGTCGTCCTGTGTAGGGCGCTTAGTTCCCACTTCTGGTGAAGTTGCTGTCTGACTACCGTTACTAGGACTCTCTATAATAATGTTGGTAATGCCGGTATCATTGGGGGAAGACGCTGTAATGGCACCCGGACAGTCGTTTGCTAGATGTCCAGTCAATCTGCATTTGAAACAAATGTTGTCATAGCTCATGAAAATTCGGTAGTTCGTTTCGTCGTACTTTATAACAAGTGAAGACGGAAGATCTATTAACTCGTTAGGTTGGACATAAATCTGTCGACGAAAACTTAAAACATGTTTGTATAATGCTATGGGGAATAGACGGACAGACATTAGAAAAAATAATACGCTTTGCAGGATTAAGCAAACGACGTACATTTACTTCAGTACCGTTGACTTTAATAGTAGAATATTCTGAAACAATTTGATCTACATAGGATTTATGACTCAGATAAATGCATATACGATCGTTTGACATTCGCGACGCGAAAATAACATTTTTTGATGTAACTATATCACCTATAGCTACAACATATTCCGTAAGTTTTACATCTTTAATAGCACTTAAAACAATAGCTTGGTCTTTAGCTGGAAAAAGAGGAGAACAAGGATTCTCCCCCATCTTGAAAAGGCGCTCTTATGACGCCTTTCCCTTTTGGGAATATCCTCGTCTTCCGACGAGGAATTTTAAATCCACAGTCACTCGCCTCAGTAAGAAACAAGATAACAGCAGGCAAAAACAGTAATTGATAAGACTTACGGGATTTCAATTAATAGAGGTGTTAAAGAAAATCATAAAATATGTTCCCATACACTGTTGTAAACCTCACTGTACTGTTGTTAAACTAACCGTAAGTGGCACCACAATAAGTTGTTATTAATTCAAAAATTTAACTGGACTTAAATCCAGTTTGATATATAATATATTTTAGTTACGCAAACAGATTGGAAAATTGAAACAACTGATGAAAGATGCAGAAACGAAGGTAGAAATTAGTGTAAGGAGATATGAAGGGAGAAAAAAATGACTGGTGGAGTGAGAAATGTTACGTCTTCAAAATCGAAAAGGCGTTAAAGTAAATACAAAGACCGAAAAAACAGTAATAAAGGAAGAAGCATACAAAATAATTAAATTAGAGAAAGAAATATGGAAGTACAGAGATAGGAAAAACAGTAGTTATATAGTGGGGCTTCTAGCTCAAGAAATTTGAGCTTTTCAGTCGGCACGTGCCTGGTATTGACCTGGGGGTTTAATGACCCCTTAGGTCTCTTTTGTTCTCTAACCTGACTATCTTCTCAGCTTGGTAGGAAAATATATATTTATAAACAAATCATTCAAATGTAGTCAGGTTGGCCGAGTGGACTAAGATTTAATCTCTGATTCCCGAAAGGGAGCGTGGGTTCGAATCCCACACCTGACAGTTCTTTCAGGCTAAGGACTGGTGTTCGTTAATTGGCTCAACTTCTTTCGTTGGTCTGCTTATAGTTCTTCGCTTCCATTCAACAATTTTTCGAAAAATATTCTTCATTCGGTCATCAGTTCGTCAGGTTCACTTATTAATGTTCCTTCCTGTGTTTTAATGTAAATGTAATACTTTTTTGACTTGGTACTTCTCCGTTTCGGAATTTCTTGTAATTTATTCTCGTTATCTTGTCTTTTCTTTTTTCTACATTTCTTATTCCGTTTTTTCCGCATTACAGAAAATTCCGACTGGGCTCCACTACTCGTTCCTGACTGTGGTCCCTATTTAAACCGCAGTGCGTTCTTTTAGAGAAATCGCGAACGCCGCCTTCGAAGTTCTGGAGTCTGCCGTCGAGGTTTTTCTCTAGCTATACATACTGGAAAACCCATAGGCGTTTTAGCGGTGCGGCGTATGGGTTTATTTCGTAACAATGTGCACAAAATTTCTTCGAAATATGGAGAGTTTTTAGTAAATATGCACAGTTCTATGCACATATGCAATTCAGCTGCGGAGATCCGGAAAAAAGAACAATTAACTTTAAACAAAAAAACACCAGAAATGTCCATAATTACAGTATAACCTCGATAATCAGAATTAATTGGAGAAAAGGAAACCTGAAAGTGAATTGAATAACAACTTCATACATTGCTAAAACAAATTTCAAAAAATAAACCTTAATTTTATTATACAACAAATAAATATTTATGACATTTTCGAATATTTCTATTGTTTTTTCCAAAATCGCATGTTAAAATATAGCAATTTTTACAGATTCAGTAGCAAACAGTATAATACAAAATTCACGGTTAGCGTTTTTTTTTTCCACCCAGACTCCATAGCAGCACATAACTGGCCCGCCCACCCACCCGGCCTTCATTTCAGTGATTTATTTTATCTGGTCTGAATGAAATGAATAATTTTATACTGAGCAGAAATAAAATTAGTGTTTAAAATGAGAAGACTGGGGGTGGGTAGGGCTTGTACTTACTAAAATAACACTGATTTTAGCAAATGAGGAAATAGAGGGCGGGTAGGCGGGGCTAGTACTTGATAAGATAATTCTGCTTTTGGCAAATAACATATCTTCCAAGAAAATAGAGGGCGGGTGGGCGGGACTATCATTTTTTAAAAGATGACTGAGTTTGACACTTTTGACATTTTTCAACCATTTTCGAAAATTAGCTAGATGTTAGCTAGATATTTTCTTGTAAATTTCGACATCTAGAAGTCATTTTAGGGTTCGTTTCTTCGAAAATTTCTATCGTTTCTCCAAAACCGCCAACTGAAATATGTATGACAAATTTTTACTCTTCCAGTGGCAAATAGACGACATACCTTCCAAGGAAATAGAGGGTGGGTGGGCGGGGCTAGTACTTGATAAGATAAGACTGTTTTTGGCAAATGATATATCTTTTAAGAAAATAGAGGGCGGGTGGGCGGGCCTAGCATTTTAGTTTGGAATCAGCACGTCGAGATACATAACCCTGATTTTTTTGAGAATTTTTAGACCACTTTTTCAAAAATGAAATGCAAATTTCGACCCATTTTCCACGATTTTCAAAATTTAACGAAACACATTTTTTTGTAGATTTTGGGCATTTTACATTGAACAACACAAAACCTAAAATTAACCCCACCCACTTCCACTTTTGATTTTCAATCATTGTCAAAATTTTATCTCGAAATTGCATCAGAACAAATATGTTTGAAATACATCAGTATTTAACAGTGCTACATGTATTTTTTGAAATTTTGAAGTTCTATGTTTTATATACTTCTACGGAAATTTTGACAAAAAAAAATAAAATTTTTAGTTTACACTTGCCTAAATTTACATTAAATACATATTTCGATTATCGGTATAAAAAAACTTGATGATTTCAACACACAAAACAAGTGTTGAAGTTAATTTTGATAATTTTCTTCCACAAAGGCCAGTTTTGAATTTTGAATCATTGTCAAAATTTTACCTGGAATTTTACCTATTATTTTCCCGTTAGTTATTCCATGTAGGGATTCAAAGTCGATTTAGCACAAACATGTTTGAAATATATCAGTCTTTAAAAGTGCTGGACATATTTTTCTGAAATTTTGAAGTTGGTTCCATGTTTAATAAAATCTAAAAAAATTTTGTAAAAAAATAAAATTTGAATATCATTGGGTTATTTGATTAGATGGAAGTTAAATGGTATTTTGTCGAGTGGCCGAATTTACTATTTAACTAATAATTCAAAGTGGCCCCGCCCACCCACCCGGTTTTTCTTCTGATCACTCATCTTATTGGACAAAAGGAGGTTTTATATTGATAAACATTGGAATCTAGACAAAAAGTACAACCAACCCCACCCAGCCGTACTTTCGAATTTCATTGGCTTTTTTGATCAGATAACTGCTGAATTTTATTTTGTGAAGTGCTCGAAGCTGCATTTTGAAAAATTCAAAGTGGCCCCGCCCACCCACCAGATTTTCTTTCTAATAATTTATTTTATTGGACAAAAAGTGGATTTTATAGTGATAAACAACGAAATCTAGACAAAAAAGGTAAAACTAATTCCACCCACCACCGCTTTTGAATTTCATTGGTTTTTGTGATCAGATGTAGACTGAATTTTACTGTATCAAGTGACTAACTAGGTTTAAAAAAACTCAAAATGGCCCCGCCCACCGACCCACTTTTATTTCTAATCACTCATTGTATTGGACAAAAAAACGATTTTCTATATAAACAGTGGAACCAACAAAGTAAAACTAGACCCAGACTAAATTTTACTGCGTCAAGTGGCGAACTAGGCTTAAAAATTTTCTTGTAGATTTCAGTCTCGATTCTTTGATAAATCCAACAGTTCTCCAGAATCAGCGGTTGAAATATCCAAATTTTCGAATTTTTAGAAAATTTGTGTTTAAAACCGAATATTTAAAAAATGTCGAGCGATTAACATACTCGCACAATCATACGGCATATTTTTGGAATCAACATGTCGAGATCTACGGAGCTTGTCACTAGTATTTTTACTAATTACATATTTTACTTTTTTATCTACAAATTCGCCTATTTTTCCTAAAATATTCAAAATTTACTACCACCGACCTTCTTCAACATCTAGTTCTATCCAATTAAACCTCAGTGGCAATAAACAAGCCAGTTACACAATTCGAAAGAGGCGGAACAAATCAGCGCCCACTTGGACGTACGAATCACTTAATAACGAATTGTCTTCAAATCAAATCTGTGTTACTAAAACAGCGTATAAACTACAATAATTGGAAAAACGGATTTTCTACTTTTGTTTTTACAACGCAATTAAATTTGAAATGCTCACTTTTCTTCCACCACGTTATGTGCCATTATTACATAATGAAAACACTTCTAAAGTGCACCTAGTCGTTACTTTCCTCATATCTCTGATTTACAAAGTGACCGTTATAACAAAACCGGACGCATTTTAAAGCAACATCAAATGTGTATAAACAGAGTGCAATAAATTCAAATGCGCCATCTGGAAGATGCAACTTTACATTACAAAGATGATACTTTTTGCGCACTCCACAGAGTACCGGAATAACAAATACGACTTCTTTTATTATATACTCCACATGTTAAAGCATTTTAGCTTTAATGCACTTTAACAAATATTCAGCCCCACTACAATCCGACTATCATTTGCCGCTTTAGTTAAAAGCTATCGAATATAAAGCAAATTTTATTGTTAACGGTATCCAAATAAACCGAGCGTTTTAAACAAACTTTGATGTTGATTTACACAACTTTAAACATAATGTGTCATTCAAATATCTAACCGACTGCCCTCCAAACAATCGCGCGGGACTCATGCGGTAATTTTAGCACAACGTGGGCACCACCTGAAATTAATTAATCTCGTACAGATTTTAAAACTTGTCCCGGAATAATAAAATAGTAAAATCACCCACTATGAAAGTTTCAACAGTTCGAGAAACTTCCAGGTAGGTAATTTCAGAAAATCGTTACAACCCCACGTTCGCCTTCAATGAAATTTAATTTTCGGCCATCGTTGCTCACTACATTATTAGCAGGAAATTAAATAACTTATCCTCAGCGTTTTCGTGAACTATAAATTTAGAGTGTCATCAAGTTTCAGCCGGATAACCGAGATTCGAAAAACTGCCAACTTCGCAAACA